AATGAAACAGGCATCCTGGTTTTGGCTAGGATAGAGATAATTTTCTTCCCAGTAGCTGGTTCAGTGCTGTGTTTTGGATTTAGTATGAGAACAATGTTGGTAACACACTGATGTTTTATTTGTGGCTCAGCAGTGCTTACCCTAAGTCAAGGACTTTTCAGTGTCTCGTGCTCTGCCAGTGAGGAGGGGCACAAGAAGCCAGGAGGGAGCTTGGCCAGAACAGCTGAGCTGAACTGGCCAGAGGGATATCCCATACCATGGAATGTCATGCCCAGTGTACAAACTGGGGGGAGTTGGCCTGGAGACACACACAGATCACAGCTCAGGGCTGGCTGGGCTTCAGCCAGTGGGTGGTGAACAATTGTACTGTGCATCACTTGTCTTTCTGGAGGTTTAGTCCTCTTTTATTTTTGTTTTGGTTTGTTTTTTTTGCTACTTCCAGTTTGGTTTTTTTACTATGAATATTTTTATGGTTATTGTTCCCATAGTGTCCTACTTTATTTCAATTATTATAATGTTGTTATTTCAATCTATGGGATTTAACTTTTTCTGATTCTCTTCCCTATCCCACTGTGGTGGGGAGAGTGAGTGAGTGAGTGAGTGAGTGAGTGAGTGAGTGAGTGAGTGAGAATCTGTGAGGAGGTTAGGTACTGGCTGAGGCTAAACCATGACACAGAATTAAAGAAAAAATGGTTTAAAGTAATTTAAATTTGAAATTTAGGTTCCAAAATCAGGAGGGAGGGGACTGATGGATCGAAAGCACACTGATCCCACCACCCAGAGTTCAACAAACAGAAATGAACATGTGCCATCTGTGTTTTCTGAAAAACAGGAAAGAAATTACAGGATAAGGGGGACCAGCTTTTCAAGGGATGATAGGTTACCAATAAAAATCTGCTTTGTGCTGCACTAATCAGCATATACATAAATGGTCTGGAAAAGAGATGAGCAGTCAATGACAAAGCCTGATGAGGCTATTATTTTGGTTAATAAAGATGAGACAACCTTGACTATGTGCAGTAAAGTTTAAGGGAGTGACTGACTGATAAAATTGCAGTGGAGGTCAGTGTAGATGCAATGTCCTGCACAAGAGGAAAAGGGCCCTTACTTCAGGTCTGAAATGGCAGAATCTGATCTGGTCATTTCTTCTCAGGAAAGAGTCCTGGAGTTATGAAAACGGCCCTATGGGAACATCTGCCTGGTCATCACCAGATGAAAAATTAAAATAAATAAAAAAATACTAGTAAGTAGTACAAAATCAGCCAAGAACAAAACAAATAATATCTTTTTGCTGCCACAAAAATCCATATTTTGCTTGCAACTTCAGTATAGGTAAAGAACCATAGAAATATTGGTTGAGAGGGACCTCTGCAGGTCACCCAGATCAACCTTTCCCCTGCAGCAGGACTACTGCCAACACCAGATCAGATCAGCTGTGGCTTTGTTTATCTGAGTGTTGGAAACCACCAAGGATGGTGATTCCACAACCTGCCTGGGTCATTTGTTCCAGTGTTGCATATTCCTTTTGCTGAGGAAATTTTTCCCCATGACCAGTTTGAACCTCCCTAGCTGCAGTTGTAGCTCAACACAGCTGCCCAATCCAAGTAAACTCCTTGTTTTCTACTTGCCACTGCCAAGAAGTGTTTGGCTGCATCTTCCTTCAGATGCTTTTCTGGTCCCTGAACATCAGCAATAGGATGGAAAACAGGAACATCTTTGATGTAAAGCTTGGCTAACTTAAATAGAATTCTTCAGAGTGGGAGAGGAGTTACAGAGTATGCGATAGAGAACTAGTGAGCATCAAATGAAGATAGCAGTTGCCAGGTTGAAAAGACACTAAAAGAGGCAAGATTTTGCACAAAGATATGTTTGACCTGGAGAACTTGTCACCAGAGCAAGTTGTAGATACTACAGATCAATGTAGGTTAAAGGGAAGATGGGCAGGAACCCAACAGAGAAATCTAGTGAAGGTTGCTAAGATCATAGAAATTGCACCTGCTTTACAAAATCTCTAAGTCTGAAATGTTGGTGGTAGTGAAATGCTGGAGGGAACTACTGCCTTCAGTAATGCAACTTGATATTGGTCTAGCAAAGCCCTTGGTCCCACCCATTGTGGAAGCTCTTATGTTCAATACATTGTTTGTAAAACTTCACCACTTTGCCTGCATTTCTCTCTTGCCTTGTTACTTACATCGGTAATTCTTCAGGTCACTTTCTCTGGCACACGAAATGTTATTATATTATTACTATTTTGCTTTGTTTTTAAGTTGTGTGCACAAACAACAGCAAACCCAGAACTGCAAATGAAATCTACATTTTGAAGAAATAAGCCTCAATCTTCAAAATGAAACTGCAAGCTGCAGCTTGCTGGTCAAAGCCTTATTTCCAACCTGTTTACAAATTTGGTTCCACTAAGTTTTTGAAGTTAAGACTTTTAAAGGAAGGATATGCCTATGATTAAAAACACAAAGCAGCACTCTGGAGATCTCATTCTGATCTCCAGCAATGCCACAAATTTCCTGCTGGTTTTGGCAAATCAATGGGCCTTCATTTAGCATGAAATGAGTTTTCAGCAGATGAAGTCAATGGAAGTGCTTGTGTTAAGCACTAGCAGAACTGCTCAGTGAGGGGACTTTTCACCTTGTCTGTCTGTGTGGCAGTGGACAGCTTTGGGGAGGGCCCTGTTGTAGTGCCAGGGGGTGATCGAAGGAGGAGAGACCTCCACACGAAACCTTCTGCCCTGGGAGGAGAAACCACAGGAACACCGAGGGAAAGGAGGACGGCAAAGAAGAACAAAGAGCGATGAGGAAAGGAGGAAGGTGCTTCTCACCTGGCCTCTGAGGCCCAGAGGAGCGGGAATGGTGCAGAGGAGGGGGCAGGGAGGGTCCCTGAGGAGCAAGGCGCTCCAGAGGAGCGGGGCTGGGAGGCAGGGGTGAGGGCAGGGGGAGCGGGCAGGCCACGGTCT